CCCCCCCCGCAGGAAGTTCAAGTTTTTAAGTCTAGCGAAACCGGTGATAGCACCGAGTGTTCCTATGAGGAGCCTGACCTCATTCTGTATGAAGCGTAGACACCAACAGGCACATTTAAATTCATATTTAATTTCTGACAGGGCATTTCACATCTCAACAGGGTTCGCTGGACAGCACGACGCCTGCGACAGCATTTCCCTCTAGTGACTAACATCCAACACTGTGCTGCTCAGAGGATATCGAGAATTTGGCAACAGTCCTTTGCGTTAACTTTCCTCAAAACAGGCTTATCTTTAATTCCTGGAAACCAGGTAGTTCTGGAAGATGGGCACGATACACACTGTGGTTTTTATGTCAGGATAAGAATTTCAAAGGCGTCAGACGTGCAGACCTGAGTGCGAGTGAGGCCCAGGAAGCAAGGGAGGCGGGCTGTCCACGCGGTTCCTTACCGACCGGGGCAAACAGGGTCACTGTGCCACTCCGGTCCCCACAGTGGTCCTACTTCCTGACTGCCAGAGCGGACGTGTCCTTGTGCCCCGTGCGGTGTGCGAGGCGCCCGGGTCCCCGGAGGCCAGTGTTGGCACGGGAGGGCGAGACTTCGCAGGCCACGGGCACAGCACCAGTCATTCTGACGCTGAGGGATCCGGAGGTGTTGGGGCGGCTTTCGTTTTGTTTCTGCTTCACATTGGTGACAAAGGGGTGAAGCTGACATTCATAAAGACCGAATCCCACCCCCCCCACCCCCCCAGCAAAACGAGCTCTCCCTCAGATTCAGAGCAAAGCCCTGGCAGGAAGACCCTTCGAGCTCAGCCGCCGCGCCTCAGCCTTGTTGTACTCGGATTCGTAAACCAGTTTTCTAGAGATTTTCAGAGTTAGTGTTATTTGCTCATTAGTTTTAAGTTTTTGGAAAGAGGATAACCATATTTAAAATAATTTTTCCAGCATTTCCTTCAGATCGTAGAATTTGAAAATATCAAAAGTGACTTAAAACTCACAAGATTTTACTACCGTCAAGTACAAAAATAAGTTAATCTGCTCCCCAAAGTGCGCTGCAAAGCCAGTCTGATGGTCTGACTTCTGGTGGGAGAGGAGAAGCGAGGGGCGAGGCTGCACCCAAGGCCCTGGGCCATGAAGAGCGGAGCCCGCAGGCCTCGGGAATCCCTCAGGCCCTGAGCCGGAGCGCCAGGGCACAGGAACGCTGCTGGGCTCGTCGTGGGAACAACCTTCCAGGTTGTTTGGGGAAGAAGGAGCATAAATCTATAAACCAATCCAGTATTTTCTCGGGACGATTTGAGAGAAACGAGTTCTACGCGGAAACGCCCCACAGTTCCCCGGGTCCCACTGAGCAAGTGCATTTCCAGAGGTCGCCTAAGCCACACGCAGGAGGGGTCCACTGATGACCAAGCTCTCGTGTCTCCTTCGTGGCCGCGGATGGCTCCTTCCTCCAGGATCACGATAGGAGAAGGGCAGAGGGACGCCTGGGTGAGACCCTGTTCGTAGCAAGCGAGGCCCCGTCGGCGCCATGGAGCCTCACACCCGAAGCAGACTCTTCCCCGTGGTCCGAGCCCGGCAGAGACCGCTGCCCCCAAGAGCTCACGTCACCAAACCACGGAGAAGAAGTTAAACGGGGGGTCCGGGTCCAAGCATGTCCTGCAGTTGCACGAGGCAGAGGCGACGATGGAAGAGAAACAGACAGGAGAGACCTCGGGAGTTTTCAACAAGGGACGTGTGTACGTCTCTGTTCTCCTTCGGTTAAGAAGAACGGACCAGAAACAAGCATCTGCTGCTGAGTATTCCATTCCCTTCCCTCCCATCCGTCAGCGTGGAGGCTGCGGGCCCCACGGGGCGCACTTGGCTGCCTGGCATCCGGGACCCCCGCCCTTGGTGCTCCGGACTCCCCAGGGTCAAGAGAAACTTCCAAAGAGAAGAGACCTCCGTGCTCCCAGGAGCTCCTCCCATGGTGTGGCCAGGCCTCGTAAGGAGTAAAAGTTAGTGACGTCTCACAGAGAAGTTCCAGGCCCGACGCCCACAGATGGCGCCTCGGGCCCCCAGCGCGAGTGCCTGGCGGTGGCGTCCTGGCTGGGCGCGTGTGACCAGCACAACCCCCAGGGGTGACGGGAGAGTAGCAAGTAGGTGCAACGGTCCCAGACTCTGCGTCTCTCCTCAGACCCCAAAAGAACACTTTTCGGAAAAGCCCGATCTCCCACGTGCTCTGGGTCCCCAGGGTGGGGAGCACCTGGCCGTGCCCTGCTGCCGGGACTGTCCCCTGCCGGGCCGCGGGCGCACAAAGCCCCGACAGAACCATTTCTGTGAACTCGGCGCTTCACACAAACTCACCGCGGGGCCGCACCCCCACCGAGTTGGCCCCTTTCCCTGGGAGAATTCAGGGCCGCATCAGTAAATACACATTTCAGTCGGTGGTAATTTGTGAAAACAAGTTTAGCAAAAATATATTGAGAATAAAAGCCAGAAACTGGTAAAGAAAAGCCCAATGAAAAAAATATACAAAGTCTTCCCCCAAATGTTGGTAAGAACCTAGCGCGTTCAGGGACAGGCCCAGGTGAGATGCGCCAGACCTGGCCTGGGCCGGGGAGGCCGCTCCGAGAGGCCCCGCGCTTGCAAGGCCCACGGGGTGGCGCCATTCAGTCCAAATCCACGACAGAAAAAACTACGGGACAGCTTACAACACTGTCACTATCACCACTCCTGGGGCCGGCTCCTCACTAGGATGGAAAAGAAGCATTTTGAGGAAAAATTTCACATTAGTACAAAAAAACCCCAAAATCATACAGCTGTTTCAGAAGAGCAAAATAATGATCAAAATCATGGTTTCCAAGGAATCCAGGGTCTGAGTCCTTGCCCGGGCCCCGCCCTGGTCTCTACTGAGTGACGAAGGCAGGTGAGCTGGCCAAGTGACTTGGTTAAGATGAAAGAGATCATAGTGAGCCTTTAGAAAAATACTACCCTCTACATTTCAGGTGAGATAAAAACATTTCATATGCCAATTAATTTTCAATTATAACTTTAACCTACAAAAATAGAGTGGGAGGGAACCTTGACATTCTCAGAAATTCAAGTGTAGCTGTAATGCTGTGTAGTAAGGCTTGTTTGTCCTGGAACCTTCTGAACCTCGCGGCTCAGACGGGTCATCAGTGCAGACGCAGCGGGCGCTGCTGAGGATGGCTCAGTGGTGGACAGGCACTCCCTCCCAGGAGGCCTACACGGCTGTCATAGCGGCTTCGAGCTGGGTCCTCTGGGCCGGGACCCCCCTCCTCCCCCCCCCCCCCCCCCGCGGCCCTCCCCCCCCCCCCCCCTCCTTGAGCTTGCCACTGCCTGGCGCTATTTGCCTTCCGTGACCCTCCGCCAGCACCTCCTTCTCTTCCTCTTCCCCTTGGACTTGCTGGGTTCCGGAAAGGGTTTCCCAGTCTGGGCGCTCCGGGCCGACACGGCCCCCAGGTCATGCTCGCAGCAGCATGGCCGCCCGTCCCGCGTGGAGCCGAGGGCCGCCCCGTCCTGGTGCTCCTTGCAGAATGAGTTGGGGCAGAAGTGGCAGAATGACGTGGAAGGTCTGCCACACACGTCACAGTGGTGCCAAGGACATTCCCACTTCCCTGCAACGAAACACGAAACGTGAGCCGGAGCGGCGGAAGCATCAACAACTTCTAGCGTTTGCGTGGACTGTCCGGTGAGACGAACAGAGACGACACCGCTCTTCCCCAGCTGACGTGGAGAGGAGCAGAGGCCAGGCGGGCCGGCCCGGCGGGGGACGTGGCCCACCCCCGGGCCCCGCTGGCACTCCGGCTTCTCTGTGACCTCGCCGTGGCCTGGACCGGCTTTCTACTGGGGATTTGATCTTTCCGGCGTTAATCTGCACCAGCTTGCTGCTCAGTGGGGTCACCACCCCGTCACCTGCACACTTCCCTCTCGCGTCTGTCCAGAAAGTCTCGTTCTGTCATCTTTTGCACACGATCTGTTTTCTTTTACGATCAAACGTGTTTGACTTCCCTTTGTATAGATTTTGGTTTGCATGAGGATCTGTTTCGCTTCTGGACAAGTTAACATGTCACACCCTCACCCGTCATCCCTCCAGAGCGAGGCTGTTGAGAACAAGGCGGAGCCCGCCCCGTGTCCCCCTCCCGGCCCTGCGCGTCCCAGGCTGGCTCCGGGGGCCCCCTTCCTACGACACCCAAGGCTGGGCAGAGCTCTGCGCCCGGAGCCCGGCCCCCCTCCCACGCCGGCAGCCCTGGCTCGGCAGCCACTCGCGGGACCTTGGCCCAAGCCCCGCTCCGGGCGGTCCGAGGGGCTCCACGGCCGTGCCCGCCGCAGACCCTGACTCCGTGCACGGACCTCCCTGGGCCGGGCCTCGCTACCTGAGTCACCGAGTCTGTGACCGGGAGAGGAGAGCCATCGACAGGGACCCCCAAAGGCCGCCGGGGGGGCCCGCTCACCCACCGAAGGGCCGTTTGCCCAGGCCCAGGCACGACAGGTGGTAGGCCTTGGTGCAGGATTTGCGGTCACACAGCACCAGCTGGCCGCCGTCCCCACAGCGGAAACACTCATCCTCGGACTCCTTCTTCCCTTCGCCTCTGGTTCTCCGCCTCCTCGTTCTTTTCTTGCTCTTTTTGCCCTTTTCCTCTGAAGAAAGGGACGTCGAGGTCTAAAGTGAGAAACAAACGCGCTTTGTTTACGAGACGTGCGTGGACCAAAGCAGTAACAAAAGGAACCACAAAGAGGGAGCGCAAGAGCCGTGGTGCAGGTGTGTGCATCTCCGGGGACTCTGCAGACGCTTTCGCCTGGAGAAGACCGCGCGGGGACCAGGCGTGTGCCT